CACACTCAATCACAGATGATGGGCAAATTGATGAAAGAACAAAAATCCAAAAATAATACATTAAAATGTGATATTGATCGTGGTTTAATAAGTTCTCGAGGAGAATGGAAAAAACTGGATGATGAGAACATTGTCTTTCCAGAGATGAATTTGGAGCACTTACGACAACTTTTCTTTGGTACATATCAGATTAAGCAAAGTGAAACGTATACCGAAGAACATCTCGATGAAGAAGGAAATTATGTCGTTCAGGTAGCTCCAGAAGAGGATGAAATGATACGTTGTCAAATTTAAAGTCGCCATTCTAACGCAGCACGCTATTTTGCTTGGATTCGGTACTCATTATCAGACAATAGGATCACAGCTTGTTACTGTCAAGGTCGATCTAATTCTCAAACAGTCGGTTGCTGCGGACACGTTGCAAGTGTCATATGGTAATTATCATATGCTCGCTTACATGGTTTTCATCCATCATCTGATCGAATGAGTGTTGTTCAGGCTATGGAATATCTTAAATGACTGATGCAAGAAAAGTGAACAGAAAAAGTGGAAACAATTAGCTATTAGCATTTTGTTTGATTTGCTTTTACCTGACTCATAACATTTTGGGTCAGAAAGAAATGCATATAAAAACGTTTGGTCATTGCTGTGTTTTGATATAAATATCCACCAGAGAACACATGAACTTTCTATGAGAATCTTAGCTCGGTTCGATTTATTGACATGCAAATTATGACATATGACCATTGATATGTAAGATCAGATTACTAAATCAATGGCACAGATTACCGTCAAAATATGTCCTAACTATGTCAGGCAATCCATTTTCTAGATCATTTAGAACATCAATGACATATCTGTGATTGTGAAAGAATTTTGCTTGAAGAAACGTTACAGAAAAATCTACTCAAATATTTCAATATATGTGATTGGTGACAATTGATCTGAGTAGTTGAGCCCTTTAAATCATTTTTATTCCAACCAAAATTACCTCATTTTGTAGAGAAATGTTAAGAGATATTTCTGAGAAAGTTTCAAGTTTGTCATTTGAACTATAAGGGAGAACGAGCATGTACACTGCAGATGTTTTTTTCGGTTTTCTCAGAAAATGAGTAAAACCAGAGTATTTTCATGCCATTTTTTCGTACTTTATCTATTCTGATTATTGATCATTCATGACTATTTTGTAGAGGAGATTTAGCTGCATCTTTTGATATATTGTAGTTAAAATAATATGAATCTTCAATGGATCACAAGACGTATATATAAATGTGTAAAAATATATTTAAATTGGATACCCCCTGTGACAGAATCGCTTCAAGTGATTCACTGTGTAATAATGTCAAGAGAGGAAAAGAAATATACAGAACTATGTAAACATGTGCGGGCTGTCTTTCTAGACCCAACAGAATCGAATCCAGAGGGAAGCCAGATTAGATGTCTTATCCGGCGAGGTCCTTACTATATAGTGTCATTTAACGAATAAATGATTTGAAATTAATCAAAAAAATAAATAAATTCACAATTTCTATCAGCTTTTTTAAAATAAAACGAAAAATACTAATTAATATTATTGTTTAAATAAATCAAATATCTGTAAGAAATAAATATATTCTTTAAAATAATAATAATTCTATTTTAAATAAACATATATATAAATATGAAAATATATTTTGATTATCAATATCTCATTAGAAATAAATACTTGACAATAAACTATTTATAGTTGTTCGAAGTTGCCTATTGAAAAAACATCATATAATTATTATAAAACTATAAGAATTGAAAATTGAAATAAATAAATGATATAGCATTACCATAAAACAAATCAAATAACTATTAAACAAAATAAGAGATCAATGTTTAAACGTTTCTATAAATATATTGCTCTATTATATTAGTGAAAATATATTGGAGAGAAAACTTGAACACATTATTCACTTGAGATCAAAGAGAAAACAATTTTAAAATATCTAGAATTTCTAAATAATTTCTTTCTGAGCAGTTCAATTTTCCGATTAACTGCCAAATCGAACATTTCAAATCAATGAAACTAATCAAAAGATTTTCTATGCTTAATCGTACTTCTCTATGATTTTTTTATGTGGAGAAATACACTTTTCATTTGCAGTGACCACGTGAAGGATCAAATATTGGGGAGTGGGTGCAATGGGATTTTTTCAAGAAAATCTTGCAGAAAATGTGTAAAATTTAAACAAAATCTGAATTTTTTCCTGGAAAAAAATGAAAATTTTTGGTTATTGGGTGGGGGAAGTGTACTGCCCTCCACACCTTCCCACTTTCGCGGCTGCTGTTTATTTAATTTATTAACATTTTTCATTAAAACGTAATTAAGATTCCTCAAATAATACTATCCAAAAAATGAAAGATTATGGCACTTTAAGCAAAAAAAAAAAAGAATAAAAATAATAGTTTATTAAATGATAAATAGATTCATCGTTGCAAATATATCCATACTTCTATCGAGATAATTTTCTAGATGATTTCGAATAATTATATTTATAAACGGTGAGTCAAAAGTTTCGATCCGTCTCAGTAAATCAATGATATCTACAGCAAACTTCTGTGAAGTTATTGATGAAATTATGCCATTTTGTGGAGAAAGATTAGAGCTATCTTCTGAAAAAAAAACATACATGAATCTATTATAATGTTATGATAATTTTACTAATGCTGCGTAAAAATTTTTACGTTACATTTTTTCAAAAAACAAGAAATCTTTAATATTTGAGTAATTAAAGTCGAGCGAAATATTATTCTTTACATTTATTAGATATTTTTATATGATTCGATAAAGTTCGACAAGCTCTACAAGAATATGAACATTAAAAAAATATGAATCCTGTTATCAGTATAAAACTCAGAAGAATCTACGCAGATTAATAAAAATCTTGTATATGTTGCATGAGAAAGTATGCTTAATTTTCAATGATATTAGATGATCGATTGTTAATTGATGTTTCGAGATGCAGCGTCATAAACTGAATCTGAAAATAAATCTTTCCGAGCTACATGAACAAATGGAACAGTCAACCAACAAAAAATTTTGAAATATCAACTTACTCTCTCTAATATTTGATACATGAAATTTTTATTAGTCTTTCTGATTTCCTTCAAGTTTCATATTGAAAATAAGATCAGAACTCTTTCAAACATTGATAGTCTCGTAGAGCTTGTTGAACTCTATCAAACCATGTAAAACTATCTAGGAAAAAAATACATCGCTTAGAATGTTACAAGCATGTCTTGTTTTTGAAAAAATGTAAAGATAAAAATTTTTACGCAACATTAGTAAAATGACCATAACATTATAATAGATTTTTTTTTCAGAAAATAGCTCTAATCTTTCTTCACAAAATGACTTAATTTCATCAATAACTTCACAGAAGTTTTTTTGTAGATATCATTGATTTACTGAGGGGGGTCAAAACTTTTGACTCGCCCTTTATGAATTCTATTAGAATTTTTTTCATCTGAAAAAATAAAGTTTATTAGAATTAAGATACCTAATTTTACTTTAATTCTTTTTTATTGTGCTAATTATTATGAATTGTATGAGTTAAGATTATTGTCTCGAAACTTTGTTCAATTCTAGACATTAATATTTCAAGTTGTTTTTAAAATGATTGATTCGATTTTTATTGAAGAATTATTAAATAACGATTGTTTCTTTCAATAAATAGTATCGATAAAATGTATCAGCTAATATTTTTAAAAAAAGTATTTTCTCTTTAGATTGATTAAGAATTTGAACGGGAAACAATTTTTGTCTTTTACACTATATTTCAAATGTTAAGCTTCTCAGATTTGTTAACTTTCTTGAATGATATATAATTTGTTTATTAATTAGTATTAAAAAAAACATTTGAGGATATTTGAATTTTTCGTATAGGATATACTTCTTCGAAAATAACATAAATTGATTAGTTCAAAAATATCTACGTAATATTTGTACAATAATTCATTGTTTTACTTTTAATTATATATTATTTGTTTTAATGTGAACAAGAAATAAATCATAAACGATTGAGATTCAAATACACTTAGAAATCTAAACAGAAAGCAATTTTATTTTTCTCATAATTAATTGTATTTTATTATTTTCTTTGATAGAGAATGTCTTTCAGATTGATTTTTACTTGATAATAATTAATCATAATATATTATTAAATTTTGTAATTAAATAAGTTATTTGAAATAAAATGTAATCAGAGAATATAATCTAATAGAGTATATTCAATTTTATTTCATATCAATTTGATTGATTATATGAGTAATTAAGAGATAAAAATTATAGATAAATAAAACAATTCAATATAAAAAGAACTTTATTAATATATATTCAAATTGAATTAAAAATAATTATATAAATAAATCGAGTACAATTAGTTGAATATCACTTTCCTTTGTATTATAATAAATTTATTTAGAGAAGTTTTTAGTTAAATTAAAATTCTAAACTAGATGAAAAATACGCTACGAATATTAGTTAAGAATTTATTTAATAAAATTTGTGAAGAGACATTTGAAAATCTGTTTCCTTTTAGTTAGACGATGGCAAAACAATTGATAGTGGATGAAGATTTAATAAAATCTATATTGAAAAATATAACTTCGCATTATTTCTATAAGAGAAACTAAAAAAATAAAGTTTATAGTTCAATATGTACGACATTGTTTTAGTGTCTTTATTGAAGAGTACATAATGAGAGATTTATCATATACAATGTTGTGTAGTGATTGAATTTCTTACTTTTTATACATTAACGAAAGATTATTTATCTATTTATGTCGAAACAATATTTCTATAGTATTTTTAAAGGAATATTGTAATTTTCACTGTTTCTATTGTAAGATAGAATATCTGTATATTTTACATTTTATAGAACAATGACGTAAATCAATTGATTAAAAAGTTAACTATGAAAATAAAAGCAAATGAAAAGATCTGATAGATTCATAATAAATTACACATTGGTTAAGATTATCGACAATCAGTAAATCATGTTTTATTTTACTATTACATTTTTCTATATTGAAAATTTCTTTAGATAAGTTAAAACGATGAATAAATCTTAACGATAATATTTTCATGTGAAGTTTTGTCTGTAGTCAACTTTTAAATCTAAAAGAATACTCAAAAAATTTTAGTTTAAATAATGAAATTAATTATTCGAAAAGACGATAGGCTCTTTTCTATATATTGAACTTTATCTTATTCATATGTTTTTATAAATCTTATGTAGAACTAAGACTCAAATAGGATTTCATAT